TATGAAAAAGATACTGTTCCTCACAAATAAGGCATATAAGATAATGCTATTTTGTCTCCCATCAATTCATCTACTGACCGTATACTGGTAAACAATGTTACATGACCCTGATACCGTTCCTATAAACACTTGAAGTTTCCATATACGCTATAATTTTCGTACCTCCTTACATTACGCAGAGTTGTGTCAAAATATGCCGTCGACCACTAAAGTCAGTGCTTTTCGCAAAAGTCCTTTTCGAACGGCTACGTATAAACAATGGCTTGGATTTTTTCTAAAAATGCTAGCTAGCGTTATTTATTTTTTACATTTAATATCAAAGTGCATTTCTAGGTAAATGTAGGTACATGCGTGGATCTAGAGGGGGGGTCGGGGGGTCAGGACCCCCCCCCCCCCCCTGGAATTTACCAGGTTAAAAAATGTATATAGTAAAACAAGAAAAAAGTTACCATGGACCCCCCCTGGAAAACGCTGATCCCCCTCTGGTAAACGCGAATATGTTAAATGGGTGTGAAAAGTGAAAGATTTGAGGCATTAGAAGTCACCACTACCCCCCCCCCCCCCTTCCCCAACGAAATAGTTTGTTAGGTTTTGGGGGGGGTTTTTTTTTTTTTTTTTTTTGCTTGTCAAGAAATTTCTGGGATTGGATTTTTTTTTTGACTGGGGTGGACCCCCCCTGGTAAAAATTTCTGGATCCGCGCCTGAGGTATATATGATACTTCTGAAGAATACAAAAAAAAATATGCCAGTCTAAATAACCAAAATCGCTTATTATGAAAATTTGTGAGTACATCGGTTTTAAATGATAACAAGATGTGTTTGTGAAACACTGAATAATTACATCATATGAAAGCATATGGCGGTTAAAGTTCGTCAAATGCACTTTAAAGCCCAAGGTCAAGGTCAAAAGATAAAAATGTTTCCCCCCAAAATAGACTTGATTCCGGGAATATAATTATAAAATTTATAGAAGCCCTAGCATCTACCCTTGAAAAGTTATAGCAAATGTAAAGGTGTTTCAAAAAGGTCAAGATCCCAGGTCAATGTCAAAGGGTCAAATTAAACGAAAGATCTTATTACGATGATTGCACATGTAAAAAAAAAAATAGATAGTACAAATTATTCAAAAGTAATTGTTAAAGTTCAAAATGTTATCAAAGAAATAAAGATGCGATACCCTGTAGCACCAACTTCTCAAATGTCATGGCCAAGCTTAAAGTAAAGTAAAGTAAAAATTTGTAAAAGTGAAGTAAATTTCATGGTCAATGTGAAAAGGTTAAATCTAACGGAGTAATTATGGTACTCAAAGAAAATCTTTGTCAAAATGAATATACATAATTCTTTGGTATGTAAAAGTTATAGTTCCAACTAATCAAAAGTTTTTGCAGACAGCGAGACAAGGTTACATCCAAAGATTTTATGCCCCTTATCTTCGATTACGAGGGCATAATAAAAAGCTAAATGTTTTAAAAATCCATTTGCATTCACAAAAGTTATAAACTTTTTAGAGTTAACTAAAAATATCTTAGATAATTATATCCTCGTGATTATTCAAAACTGCAATTGATAAAAATATTTTTAGCAAATCAACATGTATTGAACTCAAAAGCAGACGACAGAAAACATAATTATGTTATGTGCACAGTACGAATGTTATGTATGGATGCCCAGTGCCCCAGTCATGTCAAAAATTTGCAAACGTATTATGTTGTTTTCTTCCAGTGCATTTTGGACGGAAGTTATTGCTTCAATAAATTTATATAAGCGTTAGCAATGAAGTACTTGCATGAAAATGTACAAATCGATTATTTTATTTTTCATTTGAGATAAGAAGCATCTTAGGGACATTCAATAACTGAATTGTTAAATTAATTAAATTTATATTAGCAAGAATCTATATTTTGATTTTAATGTTTCATATAGAGAATTATAATAAAATGCTGAAATAACAGGAAGGTTAAAAAATATCTGTTTTGTTTATGATTTAATAACGATTACTATATGGATCATTTTCTCCCTTTTTATCTTCCTTGTTTAACAAATATTGTTATTTGAAGTGGTCCGTGTAGGAAAATCGTCATTGATAAATATTTTTAATTATGAGCAATAATTATTTATAAAGTGTAAAAAAAATAAAAAATTCCCTTTCCTATTAATAGATTATACAGATAGGGATTTACAATTATTCTCAGAAGTTATCATTTTGCAAGGAAGATAAGGTAATTAACAATATCTGTTTTCTTCATTTTTTAACAAATTACCAGGTACGATATAAAGTGTCTTTATTTGTGTAGCTAAATGTATTATATTAAAATCGTATGTGCATGCTTTAAAGTAATAAGAAATGAGAAACAGTATATTAGCAATTTATCTAGCATTTTCCTCTCCCAAAATTTTTTTTCATTGTTTTTCTTACCTTTTTATTTAATTACAATGATGAAATGATGAGTTGTCTTTTAATAAAAAAATATTTAAAGTAATAAAAAAAAATGAGGTACAGTATATCAGCAATTTATCTAGCATTTTCCTCTCCCAAAATTTCTTTTCATTGTTTTCTTACCTTTTCTATTTAATTACCATGATGAAATGATGAGTTGCTATGCAATAAAAAATATTGCAAATATATACTATTTTTTATATATGAGAAATGTTCCAAAAAAGTGACACATGGATGTTTCCACTCACTTTTATTCTAAACAAAATCGTTAATGCTTTCTTTTATTCATCCCTGCTTGTCAAAGTATCCACACTTGACCTAGTTACACTTATTTAGACATTATTTTATTAATATACTTCATAGGACCCTCTCACTTCCGTCATACGCAGATAAGATAAATTGCAATCCCAAGGTCATTTGGTGATTTTAGTCTTTTTCCAGAGAGTAAGAATTTCAATTTGAGGAATAGAAAGAAGTCAAACGGGGCTAAACCGAGATAAAACAGGGTGTGTGGTGGGGCAGTAACATTTTTCATCCCAAAATACTAATGCTAGCTTTGTGTATAGGCACAATGTCGTACAAAAGTCGGATATTAGTCATGCCTGTTTTCAGGATAAGACTTTCGTTATATTTCTTAAGTTTTTTAAATTACATTTTTATAGGAGATGCCCGTGACTGGTTCGCCCTTTGCACAGGAATTGGTACATGTATGATAGTACTTTTATTTGCAAAGAAAATAACATCTAAACCCTTTGTTCTTCACGGTTCAAAATCTTTTAGCAATACTAGGAAGTTGTCCAATCTTAGATGACCAGATTCTGATATAACTTCTGATTTCTGCATTTGACGTAAGTTAATGTCTCATTTGATTAATTTTTGTGATGTATACGTATAAATTTATCTAAATATTTCCTTATTTCAATTCGATAGTGTTTTAAGTATGTATTTGACACTCAATAAAATATTGTTCGTCTCTAATTACTAACGATTCTCTAACATCATAAATTATATTTAATTTTTATACAGGCAAGATTTGAAATGTTTAATACTGATGAATTTGCATCACCCTAGGGATACCTCGTGTATCAACATGCATAACTACGTCTAACGGCCCCGGTACAATAAATTATCTTTTTATAGGTTGTTTAACTATGAAAACGTTGATATACCATGGTGATCACTATGGAAACGTTGATTTACTATGTGAAAAAAAACTTTGATTTACTATGGTAATAACTTTGAAAACTTTGATTTACTATAGTGACACCTTTGACACAATATTGTGATCACTTTGAAAACTGCTTTACTATGGTGATAACTTTGAAAACTTAACTATAGCGAACACTTTGACACATTAGTAAAAACTTTGAAAACTTTGATTTACTATAGTGATAACTTTTAGACTATAGTGATCACTTTGACACTTTGATTTACTATAGTTTACTAAAGTTATATACTAATCTATAGTTAACAACCTGTTAAGTATTTATGTTCGGGTGGTACTGTGCTATAAAAGTACTTGTGGGGACAGACAATGTCATATTTCTATGTTAAGTACATTAAATGTATGTTACATAACAGTTTAGTAAGTCGTAAAGAGTTAAAGCTCAAAATCAGCGAAATGCAGCGGTATGACTGACCACGACCGCGAGTCACCTGTTTCAATTCTGATTTCCCCCTTGTCTTTGTGTCAAATAAAGAAATCTACAAATAGTTTAAAATCCTGAATAAAATCTTTTAAAATCTTTTTTTTTTTTACATTGTTATTTCTGATAATTTTAAAGTTTGAAAATTTAAAGAAAAATATTTGCGACCGCAAAATCACACAAGAGTTCGAAGAGGCTTTATAAAATTTTAAGACTGATTTTTTCATCATTGTACGTCCTATCTCGTTTTCCACAACAAACAACAATAATCATTTTGTGGTGATATAATTATGTAATTAATTTTTTATTAACTTAAGGCCAAAAGATTAGGCAAAGGTTTTAAAATGGAAAAGGCTATCTTCTTTTAAAAGAGTTCGCTTCGTGATCGGGAGGCCCGGGTTTGATTCTCGTTCTCGGCGCCGCGACAAACCTAAAACGTAAATATAGGTAGTGACTGTACCTTCGCCACGCGCTCGGCACTAGAAGCGAAAGTCACAGGTCTTTCGGATATGACCTACCTTAAAAACGTAGGTCCCGTGTCACGGTAGGCGCTGGCACGATAAAGAACCCTCACTGCTCAATGACCCTGAGGGCCGAGTATAGTTCTAAATTTGAAGCCCTTCACCGGCATACAGTGACGTCTCCATATGAGTGAAAACATTTTCGAGGGGGACGTTAAACAATATACAATCAATCAATCAATCTTTTTAAAAGATACTACAAACAGAGAGATAATTTATCGGAACATGCGCTCTTGATTTAGCCTATACAGTGTATTGATAATAAATTTAATCCATATAAAAAAGGCAAGGTAATAATAATTAATAGATAATGATGATAGATATGGTAATAATGGTCAGTCAAAACTTCTTATCTGGTTGATGTTAATCATCTTAATATCAAAAATAATACGTTTGTTTTTATTCTCTTTTAGTGTAAAATACAATCTAAGATGACGTATCTGTCGATTTTGTGGATATTATGTGTCCTTTGCATCAAGGTAGGTGATTTATTTCCAGATTAGTTTATTCACATGTATTTAACACATCATTCTGTACGTTGTTTTAATATTTCTGAATATGTGTGACATTTATTAATATAGCTGAACATTTTTTTTTGCAGGCTGTGGATACATTTCGTCAATGTAATGCATCAACACACTCAGTTAAAAATGTATTACACTGTCCAAAAAATGAAACTGAATGGACAAAAGCAAAAGCACTAAAAGCCTGCGAAGCTATTCAACAAAATTGCTCAGAATCTGAAAGTCTGGAATATCATTGTGTACCCACCGAAGATGAGGGTGACTTTGTGGAAGTGTGTGCCATCCCAATCATAGTTCATGGTAATACAGTCAAACCTGTCTTACCAGGACAGAACTGTTTAAAAATACGGGCGGATTAGACAACATAAATATTCTAATTGTTTAACAAAATAACCTTAATTTTACATCGCTTTAAGAAAGATTTTGGAGTACACAACATATAAATTAGACAGGTCTCAATGTTGTTTGATTCGACATTTTCATGACATTCTGAATTAATCTTAATCTTATATTATTCTTTCAATTACAGGGAAAAAATAATTAAAAGAAAAAAATGAATAAAAATTCAATTGTAGAATTTCTTTATTTGGAATTAATAAATTTAACATAAACAACGTCTAGCTTGATGTGGAATTCTCCTATTGGCATTCTCTTTATACATGTATTAGGTGGCTTCTGTACGGAATGGAATACTGGCGGAGAAACGCTACAACCTTCAGGAAGTAGGAACTGTACTGTCTCTCCAATCCCATGTCCAGATTCTTACTATTCAAATGAAACCTTTAAATGTAAGTCTAATGAACCTTGTTTTTTTTATTAACTCACAAGATTAATAATCTGTAATAAAACAAATCCTCGGTAAATATTGGACAGGATAGGTAAAACAAGTTTACAAGCTTCTATTTTAAAAACTAACAATTGTAAGCAATGTATACTTTATTGTTTTTTGGCTCTCAAAATTAAAAATACGAGAGACCCACATACTTTTACTTGTACTAATCTTTATAAATTTGAACAGTTTACTCAAAGGTACAATTAGTTTGAAATTTGAATTAATGAAAAAATGTGCATACAAATTTATGCCATTTCATATATCAACTTGTAAAATTCTGTATGCTTTAGATCAACAATGCTACCAAACAAATACGAAGGACCCTTCTACGACTCCCAGGTAAGTCATATTGTTTATTTCTATATTACAAGACATTCTCAGAGGGTTGATTAAGTCATACTTTTTCATCAAGTTATGTACTTTCATTTTATTTCTATGATGTTATCTCGAACTCAATTTTCATGTCTTTATTTAGTTGCATATATTTTAAATTGATTACTGTAAGTTTGCTGAAATTTCTTTTCTATTTTTTTTTTAAATAAAATTATTTCACTTTAGTGTGAATTCCACCTCTCGTCTACGGACAATAGCGATTCTTCCTGCAGTGATGGGCCTTACGCTGCTATTTTTAGTATTTCAATTACAGTTGCTATAACGTGTTTGTTTTCAAAGGTAAACTTAAAAAAAGTTCATTATTTAATTGATTATACATTATATTTGATATTTTCCTATTAGATTTGATAAATATCTTTTATTACTTAATGTCTTTTATATCAATGTTCAATATTATGACAGTGGCTGATTTTATTTTATTATATTTTTCAGAAAGAAAGACGCATACGTTTCCCAGGGACTGATTAAAAATAAAATTAGATAATAAATCAAAATGTATATACACCTGACGAACCATCAAAATCATTGTTTGAAAAAATTGGGATGGCTAAATGTGTATGAATTAGTCATACTACATAAGCGTACTATTGTTTAAACAATATCTCCTGAAGAATTAATACTGGCTTCTTTATTTTGAGTCTTATATCATTTAGCTGTACATTACATTTAATTATTCATGCATTAACAAACTCTACATATTTTATCTTTGATTGTATCATTTTACGTAATACGAGGGTAATTGACCCAACATAAATGTCACTGTGTCCATATCTTTAATATTTGACGTCATATGATCAAATATAATGTACCAAAAGATACAAAAACATAAATCTTATTAAAATTGCAAATTCCATTCAATAAAGATTAATTGAAATATTTCTATATACTTTTAAAACATTAAACATAAGGGGTGTCGCCGGGTCACGACTAAACGTCACCTTATTAAGTGTATATTGTTTTAATGAAAAAAAAGATTACAACTTTAATTAAGGAATAACTGTCTTATTTTTCGAATTCATGAAGTGATCAATGGATTGGCTTGTGTGATAATTTGCATAAACGGCGTTTATGCATAAAATTATCACACAAGCCAATCCATTGATCATCTTCATGAATTCGAAAAATAAGACAGTTATTCCTTATATTTACATGCTTTGATTCCGCCAATCCACGGGCTCCAAGCCTGCTTCTCTCTAGGTGTTGTACCGCCCTGCACGTGTTTTTTTTTTTTTGGAACCGCGCCAAAACATTCATGAGGAAATAAATTACATTTACAATTGGTAATTTTATCTCGGACAAAGACATTGGAAATGTAAATATAAGCATCTAAAATGCGTCTAATTGCCCAACACTTTAAAAGACAGTATTTTAAGACATTTTCTAATCTTAGATGAAAATAAAATGACTTCATTGCTTTTTGATCATACGAGGGCTGTTCAATAAATAATGTCCTGAATGTATGACATGCAATACAGATATCATATGACATTAAAATTGGCTTTCTCTCATAATTGAATCTTTAATATAATCAAAACAGTTCATGTGACCACTTTTCATCACATAGTTTCATTGTAAGTAGATAGGAAACAAGTGCTTTTCGAGACACTGCATTATAAATGAATGGTAAAGAATCGGTAAACTAGAGTGAAAATAAAAGCTTAAACAAAGCTTCTGTAAAACTTGTTAAAAATCCCAAAGAAATATTCACTGAAATATGGGACATTTACAGCAACCAACACCTGTTTTATAGAAAAATGAGCCGGTGGATTTCAATTATAAAAAAAATATATAATGGGCATCAAAAATGGGTACCGTCCTTGCCAACAAAAAATTATAACACTTATGTACTGTTTGCCAAATTTCAACAAAAATACTTGATGATGTAGGATTGACTTTAAGACAAATAGCAAATTTGATAGACATCACATCGGGGGTTGTTTACACTGTTTTTAAGAAATGTTTGATGGTAAAAAAGCTTAGTACTCAAAGGTCACCCTATATTTTGAAAAATGAGTGAAAACGACAGCGTGTATAAATGTCTTAACAATTATTTTAAAATATCAGTAACTGGAGTTATCCACGTTTTTTTTTTTGGATATTCAAACAAATAATGGAACCTGAATCTATTGCTTAAAATCCTCAAAACAAAATTTACCATAAGATGTACTTGACAAAAACAGGGAAGGTCTGGCGAGAGCAAAGAATTGCAAGAGCACAAAGACAGATTTATATGCAATGTTCTTAAATATTAGTGGTATTGTTGTTCAAATTCGTATTCGGGGAGACTTTCTGGATCAGGCTACAAAATAATTTTTTGCAAAAAATCGAAAGGTTTATTAGAGGAAGATCCCAGAATCAGGAATCCACTACATTAAATTTCTTCATGACAGCGTCCAAACCCGCAAGCCCTGAAGAGTAAAGGTGTTTTCGGGATACACAGATAGTTAATATTTTTTTCACATCAACAATATTAGCCAGTTCTTTGACCTTTTGACTTATTTCTATTTCCAAACTTGATAAGAAAGAAACAAGTCCAGAAAATCATTGGATCTGCCATTTTCCAGTATACCAAGGGTCATACCCAAAAATGAGTTCTAAAATCAATCAGAAATTGGATAAAAAAGGTTACGGACATGTGTTGTAATTAAAAGAGATTAATAAGTAAAATAATGAAGACAAAATCATTGAAAAGCGTATTTTGTTTCTTTCCGAGCACCGAGGACATTATTTATTGAACAGCCCTCGTAAATATTGTTGTTTTAATCTGATGTATTGAACAAGGGAAATGTCGAAATGAAAAAAAAAACACTGAAACGAGCTGTAATGCATTTTAGCTTCGAAATGTGGAAATCACCAGAAGAGACAGTTACGATGATTAATCAGACGCACAGAGGAAAGAATTTAAAAAAAAAACCTTGTTTATAGAATGTTTTACAATTTTTGTGGGTCATGGGTCATTGAATGATCAGCAGAGGACAGTGAGACCGGAAAAAGAAGGTCGGGCGAGAACGTTCAATGGTGTCGGACGTTGTCAAAAAAGAGAGACGTGTCACAGTTAGAGTGATATGAGAAACTTTTAGTCTGTCTTATGCTTCTGTTCAAATTATTTTGACACAGGACTAAATAACATGTAGAGTGAGTGCACAATGGGTGCAAAGAATTTCTGAAAAAGTGAAATATGTGAAATTGTTCGTGAATCTCAAATATTTTTTTTTCAATGAAATGAAGGTGAAGCGGTCTAACTGTATGATGGTTCGTATTCGTCATCCGTTATATGACGTTAATTTGGTGCGTCGACTACCATAGTTACTCTTTATATATTATTCGATATTCTTGTGAAATTCCACTGTTTTCCACTGTTAACCGGGATGTTATTTCTTTACTAAAAGTAGAATACATGTTGATATCAGAACAATATTCACGTTAAAGTAGGGTCTGAAGCAAAATATGCATTCCTAGTGACGTCTTCTTTTATATGTTATTTTGTTACTGTGGATACATCAATACTGTATATGTACAAATGTATAATCCGCTTTAACAATCATGATATGAATCTATTATTTAAGTTTAAAAAGTAATTATCAAATATAGGATTGAGAGTTGTCATTATAGACTAGAAGTGTTCTAGATAAATCAGTGCAAAACGGAAAAAAAGATATCTAGATTCTACAAGTAACATACTCTTCAAAAGTATTTCCTGATCCATTATTCGATTTACTATGGTAATTACTTTAAAACAATTCTTATTTTTCCTTATTGTGTACTAAGTATTCATATAAAATTAATTTTGATGCATAAATAAAAATAGTTCTTAACCTTTTAGGCAATATAATAAAAGTGTAAATGTAAGATATATTTAGATGTAGTTATATAATGACGGTAACTTAAGTTAATGCGTTAGCTAGATTAGATAATCTTCAGCATTGTTAATATTAGAACGTGCTTTCAATGAAAAAAAAACACATTTCAAAGAACTTGTGCTAATATTTATTTCCATAAAAGTTAGTATTATAAAGTACGAGTATATTATTATTAATATTTCAATATCCAGATTGATTTATTTCAAATGGACTTCAAAGAGGTAGATAACAATCGGAACAACTGATTTAATCAGAGGATTGTTCCCTTTTCGCCTTATTTACATGTTAATATAAAATGTATCATTTCCATTTTGCCGTAGTACCTTGATTTTGGGTTTGTTAAGGCGAAATAGGAACTTATGTAAACATATAATTATGCGTTCAATTATTGTTCTCATTGCATAGCAAAATTTAACAGATTTCGGATCGAGATTTCAAATCATTAGCTCAGAGTGATTTTTATGCCCCGCCATATAGTGTCATGTCCGTCCTCCGACTTTCCGTCTGTCCTTCTGTCACACTCTGCATTTGGCTTGGTTCAAAGCGCAGTTTCAAAGAAACTATCCAAGATATTTTTACCAAAACTTCATATGCTAATAGATATTGAGATTTTTTTTTACCTTTACCTTTCCTTTGACCTTGACCTACATTTTTCTAAATAAGTGTTTAGGTCAGTTTTAAACATTGCGTTATCAAACTTTAATTGTTAATACATACTGAAGAAAGCTTTTTAACTGCGTCACCATTTTTGACCTTGACCTTTCTCATATCCTTGATCATCTTTTTCTTAAATAAGTGTTTAGCTCAGTTTTAAAGGAACCATTCGTAATATTTTTTATACCCCCCGCTTGAAAAGTGGGAGGGTATATAGTAATCGGGATTTCCGTCCGTCCGTCCGTCCGTCTGTCTGTACGTCCGTCCGTCCGTCTGTCTGTCTGTCCGTCCGTCTGTTACGCTTTGGGGTACCTATCTCTTATCCGCAACTCCTCTTATACCATTGAGTGAAATTTAATGAGACTTTCACAGAATGTTTGTTATATAGTGCCATTGTGCACCTCCTATTTCACTTTTTTATTGGACACATATTTCGGGTTTACCATAGCAAAAAAAATAGACATTGCCACTTCAATCGGTCCAGAATTATTCGAATCGTCCGTTTTGGTTCCTTGTTTACAATTTCAAAATGGTGTTGGTAAAACAAGAGGGCATATACGGCCGGTGCAAATTAAACGCCGGAGCAGTTTGAGATATATCAAATATCTTCGGTAAAACTCCACCATTATGTTTCTTTAGGGTTCTTTTGGGTTCTTCTGTTCTCTTATCCGCAACTCCTCTTATACCATTGAGTGAAATTTAATGAGACTTTCACAGAATGTTTGTTATATAGTGCCATTGTGCACCTCCTATTTCACTTTTTTA